TTTCCCCTCCCCCTGCCCAGCCAGCAGCTGGGCCGGGGAAGAGACCCGAACTCTTTCCCACCGGAAACACAAAAGGACCTCCCAGGGGAGAGCTCTGCTTTTAACCCCGTGTTCTCAGAGGCGTGTCCATGTCCTAAATGGCCAGGTTAGATGCCAATATTAAAGCCTGAATATCCATTGGCCAAAAACACAGCATCCCAAAAAACACATTTCCTGTCAAACCACCACATGAGGGCAGGGGAAGAATGACCTCCCTGCTCCTGCTGGCCACACTGTTCCTGACACAGACCAGGATGCCCTTGGCCTTCTTGGCCACCTGGGCACACTGCTGGCTCATGTTCAGCCGGCTGTCACCAGCACGCTCAGGTCCCTTTCTGCCTGGGCACTGTCCAGCCACACAGTCCCCAGCCTGTAACATTGTAGGGGGTTATTGTGGCCAAAGTGCAGGACTTGGCACTTGGATTTATTAAATTTCTTCTTACTGGACTCTGCCCATCCATCCAACCATTGCAAGTCTCTCTGCAGAGCCCTCCTACCTTGCAACAGATTGACACATGATCTCAGCTAAGTGTTGTCCACAAATTTACTAATGAAAGACTCAATCCCCTCATCCATGTCATCAATAAAAATATTGAACAGAACTGGCCCCAGCACAGAGCCCTGAGGGACACCCCTGGTGCCTGGCCCCAGCTGGATGCAGCACCATCCCCACCACTCTCTGGGCCCGGCCATCCAGCCAGTTCCTAACCCAGCAAAGATGCTCCTGTCCAAGCCACGGGCTGCCAGCTTTTCCAGGAGTGTGCTGTGGGAGACAGTGTCAAAGGCCTTGCTGAAATCCAAACAGACAACATCCACAGCCTTTCCTGCATTCCCCAGGAGGGTCACTTGGTCATAAAAGGAGATCAGGTTGGTCAAACACAACCTACCCCTCCTAAAGCCCTGCTGGCTGGTTCTGATAGCCTGGCCTATAAGTGCTGTGTGATGACACTCAATATAAACTGTTCCGTAACCTTGCTGGGTACTGAGGTCAGGCTGACTGGTCTATAATTACCAGGATCCTCCTTCCTACCCTTTGTGTGAGTGGGTGTCACATTGGCCAGGTTCCAGTCATCCAGAACCTCACCAGTGAGCCAGGACTGCTGGAAAATGATGGAGAGAGGCTTCACAAGCTCATCTGCAGCTCCCTCATCACCCTGGGATAGATTCCATCTGGGCCCATAGATTTATGAACATCCAGCAGCTCAGCAGTTCTCTGACAACCTCCTCCTGGATAACAAGGGGACCATTCTGCTCCCTGACACCCTCTGCCAGCCCAGGAGGACAGCTGTCCTGAGGACAAGCCATCTTCCCACTAAAGACTGAGGCAAAGAAGGCATTAAGCACTTCCACCTTCTCCTCAACTGCAGTTACTAAGTTCCCTCCCATCCAGTAGAGAACTGAGATCTTACCCTTCCATTTGCCATTAATATATTTGTAAAAACATTTTTCACTATCCTTTACAAAAGTTGCCAAATGAAGTTCCAACTGAGCTTTGGCCTCTCTAATTTTTTCCTACATGCCCTAGCAACCCCCTTAAATATTTCCTGAGACATCTGACCCTCCTTCCAAAGATCATACATCCTCTTTTTATTTCTAAGTTCCTTCAAAACCTTGTTGCCCATCCAGGCTGGATGTTTACCTCATCAACTCATCTTTCAGCACACAGGGACAGTCTGTTCCTGTGCCCTCAAGATCTCTGTTTCAAAGCACACTCACCTTTCCTGGACTCCTTTGTTTTTAAGGGCTGCTTCAAAAGGAACTCTCTGAATAAGTCTCCTAAATAGCTCAAAGTCTGCTCTCCAGCAGTCCAATGTAAGAGTCATATTGATGTTCCTCCTGATTTCACCAAATATCAAGTACTCCAACCACCACATCTCCCACCAGCCCATCTCTATTTACAAACAACAGGTCTAACATAGTCCTTCCTTTGGTGGGCTCACTCACCAGCTGTGACAAAAGTTGTCATCAACACACTCTAAGAACCTCCTGGACTGCCTCTTTTCTGCTGTACTAAGTTCCCAGCAGATGTCTGGCAGGTTAAAGTCACCTACAAGAAGAACAAGGACTGGTGATCCTGGTGATGCTGAAGAAAGGGAGGTTTTAAAGAGAGCAGTGTCACTGCTGATGGAGAGATCCCAGGAAAACACTGCAGAATTCCATCTGTACACACAGCAACTGTGGTTTTTCATGGTAAATAACAGAAAGGGGTACTGCAAACATGTCAATAAACTTGGATATTCACTCATGGGTAAATACTTGGAACAACAATGCAATAGCTTCAAGCTCAGCAGAAAAATAAGTGTCTTACTACAAAATGGGCAACACTGCCTTAAGTCCTTATAACAACCTGAAAAGAAATAGAGATTGCTACTGGGGAAACATCAGTCACCTTTCACCTCGCCTTTGAAAAAGTGCTGTGATGCTTTTTTTTACTTTATGTCAAAAACTTCTGTCCCCTGAACTGAGAAAGTGACCTCTTCTTGAAGACACTGCACTCACTTTAAACCTGAGGTTTATAGTCTTCTGTCAATCACTTCTTCCATCACTAGAGCAATGAATTTCTACAATAACCTTGTACTTGAGTCAATCCTTTCTCTGGGTTTCAAAAGATTGCATTTTATCCCAGCAGTTTCTTGAGTCATCATGGTCTATCTAGTATCCAGAAGAGGTTCTGTGCTTTGTATTTCCTTGGCTGAGAGGCACAAAGCACCTGAAGTTCTGCAGAGCCCCAGCTTCCACACAAGGCTTGCTACAAACCAGCCAGCTGAACGAAACAACCTTTGCCATTACCAGTATAGCAGTAAACCACGAATATGCATGAATTATTGCCCTGGTTTTATAAATTAACTGCATCACAACTCTTCCATGTAGCCTTGCATGTGTGCTCTTCACTTCTGTCCCTTCTAGCTATATTCTGCAAATTGCTATCCCAAAGCCCTGCTGGTTTTAACAAACGGGCTGTCAGTGTTAACCTGATGAAAGAGTGCATTGATTCAGGAGAAGGGGCCTCTGCTCCAGCACATGGTGTTGTCTGCTGACACTTGAAGCATGGGGCTACAGGGCAAAACCACTCAAAAACAGTGGCAGAAAAGACAAACCAGTTCTGGTTCACATCTGCATGGGAGCTGAGCTGGGACCCCAGCCGCCTGTGGAAGTGCTTCCATCACAGGGATCGGGAGGGTGCTGCTCCCTCCCTCTCTCTCTCTCTCTGTGGGAAGATGTGGCTCCTGCAGAGAGCAAGAGGCCCTTTGTGTGGAGCTGTTGTTTGACACTGCCACTTGAACTGGGGTAATGGAATCCTAGAATGGTTTGGGTTGGAAGTGATATTAAAGATGATCTCATTCCAACCCCTCCTGACCATGAGCAGGGACACCTACCCAAAGACCAGGCTGCTCCCCATCCCCATCCAACCTGGCCTTGAACACTTCAGGGATGGGCATCCAGAACTTCTCTGGGCAAGCAGTTCCAGGGTCTCACCACCCTCACAGTAAAGAATTTCTTCCTAATATCTAAAGGAAGCCTTTTTCAGTTTGAAGCCCTTATCTTTTGCCCTACCATTTCATGATCTTGGAAGAAGTCCTTACAAAAAGGATGAGCAGAGATGCCTGAGCTTTAGCTCAGAGGTGCTGGGGCATGAAGGGCAGCAAGGAAAAAGCTTTGAATGCAAATTCAAATGATTTTTTTCAGAAGAGGAAAGATGTGTGGGGAAACAGGAGCGATTCCCCGAAGCAGCATTCAGGCTGGGGCTGAGACCCTGCTGAGGGACCAGCCCACTCTGGTGATTCTTCTGCATTTTACAGTGAGTGGTGAAGCCAGCCATGGGGTCTGGTCCCACTCCCAAGATCTGCTGTGCCTGTCTGTGTTCCACATCTCATCACAGGGAGTTGCCACTGCATAGCTCCCCCACCATGCACTCATGGCTATGTGTACATATACACAAATACATTCAATGTACATATTTATATCCAACTGCAATATATAGAGTATGCACTCTGTGTGTGTTGTGTGTGTGTGTGTATTCATCCGCAACTGATCTGGAACCGATCCTTCTATCACAGAGCCAAGGCCCCAGCACCTGCCAGATTTCTCACAAGTAGTTTACAGAGGGGGCTTGGCTCTCCCTTGCTCTCTGCTGGCACAGCTTCAGCACGAGGTGAGATGCTCATTATGGTCTCCTGGTTGCTGTGGGTCTCTGCTGTGAGGGAAGAGAGAGGTTTGTGTCTTAGGATGGGTAAGGAATTCATTAGGAATTCATCTGGGTGTTTCTGGCATCTGCAGGGGAAGGAACTGATAGAAGATTAATTCACCAAGGGAAGGTTGAAGTCCAAATTAGGAAAAGGCAAGAGTAACTTTAGGCACCATTACAGTTATGGAACTGCTGAGCAAGGGCTCTTAGTTTGTGAGTTTAGCTTTTGCTCCCTGAGTTCTTACAATAAACTAAAACTGTCCATATGTAGGGAAAAAAATTCCAAATTATATTTTAAAGCTAATCAGCTAAAATGCATTGTGATTTTCTGTGGGTTTGGGTGGTGATAAGAAGGGAGACAGAGAAAACCCTGAACTAAGTCACCTTTGGTTGATTCTGTTTAGTTTTTCCATCAGGACTATCTCTCCATTTCCATGCACTGTTACAAGGATCTGACAAACTGGCTTTATATCCAGAGCAATGACACACTACAGCCATTTTATTTACTTTTTTTAAAACTCCCCTGTCAGAAAAGCCCGTATAAACCGCTGAAAGGTCTTTACCAGCCTCACCGGATCGATTATGTGTAACCCCAATAAAAAGTGCTTCTGGGAAGTGGCCGAGCAGTGGCTGGGTGCCTGGTGCTGCCCCGCTCCGAGCCCCGCAGCATCCCCGGGCTGCCGCTGCCCCTCCCCGCCCCGCCCGGCCCTTCCCGCTCCGCTCCTCCGTCCCGCCCTCCGCCTCCATCCTCTCCGTCTCCTCCCGCACAGGTGGGGCTCCGCTCCTGTGCTCTCCTCGCCGCGATGCCGCCGCCGTGTCCTCGCGGGGCCCTGCCCGGGGCCTCCCTCCTCCTCCTCCTCCTCCTCTTCCTCCTGCCGCTGCTCTGCGCGGCGCCCGGTGAGTGAGCGCGGCGTGCGGGACACGGGGACAGCGGAACCCGGCACGGCCCGGGGAGCGGGAACAGCCTTGCCCTGGCACCCCGCGGGGGTGAGAGCCTTGGCACGCTCCAAGCCTCGTGCGAGCTCGGCATCTTTCTGAAAAGGTGCTGCTTTGCCCGCGACTGAAGCATTTCGGAACTGCCGAGCGCTTGCAGGTCTCCCGTTGCGCTCCGGTCTGGGGATCAGCAGCATGACTGCTTCGATGTGCCTTGGGGCAGGATGCCAGGCACAGTTTTGGAGCACTCTGACTGTTAGCACAGCCCTCACCCAGTGACGAGGGGCTTCCAGAATTATCATGCTGCTCTGGGCGCTGGTACTGGCACCAACTGCAGCTTTCTGATGAAAAATATAATCATTTACTTGGTGAAGAAGGCCATTATAGGGTTTCCCTTGCCAAGAGAGCTGGGGAGAAGATGCTGGACTGTCAGAAGCTTCCTTGCAGTGTATATTGCATTCAAATGTGGAAATGGGAGCAAAGAGAGCAAGTTTCTGCTTTGCTTCTTGAACTGGAGCTATGACAAAAATACTTCTGGCAATTTTTGAGAAATAAACTTCTGTTGTTGTTATTTCCTTCTCAGTAAATGTATGTGTTTTATTTTTATTTGTCTAGATGTTTCAAGGGGAAATAAGCTTAAACTGATGCTTCAGAAACGAGAAGGTAAGTAAAGAGACAGCAAAGTGCTTTTCCTTGTTTTTCCTTGGAGTCAGCTGCTGTCAGTCAAAGCTGTCGATGAGCTGTCCCTGTAGCTCCAGCTCCAGGAGAGCAGATGGAGCAGGAGGCCACAAGCACAGGGCCACACTCACAATGGGCCACACCAGAACCTCCTGCTCAGGCAGAGCCCTGCCTGTGTGCCTGTTTGGGATGTTGGGCTGGAGGCTGTGCTTGCCACAGCTCCCTCTGAAAGGCAGTGCCCAGCCTCAGCTATGCTGCCTTGGCTCTGCACAGAGCACAGCACTGGCCTTTTCCTGGGGATGCATGGCAGACGTGGCATTTATCTATTTGGGGCAGTCACAAACTTTTCCAAGGAATGCATGGAAATACTGCTGGCTCAGGCACGGGGAAGAGTATGTGCAAACCTGGCTTGCCTGTGATGCCTTGACTTGCTCTTTTTTTCTTCTTGGCCCCACATGTGCTTCCCTTTTGGAAGACTGCTCTCTTACGGGAGAGATGATGGCCAAAGGCCCAGCAGTCAGAAGCATGGAATGGCTCTCTGGTTGAGGGAAGGTGGTGGAAACGATGCCAGCTGGGAACAAGCTGCACCACAGCAGATGAAATATCCCAGAAGTTTTGGCCACCTCCCCTCAGCCTGCTCTATGGCTGAAGCAAAGAATTTATACCCTCACAGAGGGGACTTCCACTTCCTGCCAGGCTTTCTAATTTTGTTCTGGGCTTTTTTTCTGGCATCACTCCACACCTCTTGCCAGAACTAAATATACATCCCACCCACCTCTGTTTTCCTTGTGTGTGGGTTCCTTGTGTTACCATTCTGCAGGGCTTGTGTGAAGACAGGAGTGACCCTCCTGCACCTCAGCAGTGGCCACTTGTTTGTTCAGTTTCTCCCTGGGGAGAAGGCTCCTGGGGCATGCAGACAACATCTATAGATGTTGTTGGCTTAGATCAGGAAGAACTGCAAAACTGATGATAGAGGGAATGTGCAGCCTTTTTGACTCCAGCCTTGCTCCCTTTTCTGGTTGGTTTCTCAAGCAAGCAGGCCAAGCACACAGTACTGCTTCCCTTGCTGGCAGTGTCCCTTGTGTGAGGGCTCATCCATGGGACATCTGCTTAGCTGTCCCTCCCAGCAGTAACACCTAGTTCAAACTCATGGTGAGTTATCAGTTTCCAGCTCATCACTGCAGGACAGCCTACTGTTTACCACTTACTTCAACAACTCATCTATCACTTTTATCTCCAGAATCTCCTTTTTTCTGTAGTCCTTTGCCTTCCTCTGTGAGTGTGCCCAGCTCCTGCTCCAGTGGTTTTCTTCACATCTCCACTTGACTTCCCTGCCTACCCCAGTCTCTTCACACACATCCTCCAAAAATCCCATGCATACCCGTGTTCCTGATTTCTCCCTCATTGAAATGAACCATCTGAAGGTAAGACTTCTCCTACTCCTACACACCTCTGGTATCACAGCTGGATCAATACCATGTTTTATCATTTCCATGTCTGGCCAGGGGCTGGCCAGTCACAGAATCATAGAACTGTTAGATTAGGAGAGATCTCTAAGTTTAAATCCAACCATTTACCCAGCAGTCACACTCACCACTAAACCACGTCCCCAAAAAAACTTGTGTCTTTTGAACACTTCCAGGGATGGCAATTCCCACCACTTCCCTAGGCAGTTTGTTCCAAAGCTTGACCACTCTTTGAGCCAAGGACTTTTTCCTAACATCCAAGCTAAACCTTCTGTGGCACAACTTGAGGCCATTTCTTCTCATTCTGCTTAGTCCTCTCATCCATGTCTTTGGGAGCTGCATCAATTCCTTCAGCAGCCACAGCACGCTGCTCTGAGGCATGGACCAAGCCAGATGGCACATTTGGGTCTGGCAGGTTGGGGGAATTTCCGTGCATCCCTCACATAGGTTGCTATGAAAACCTGATGGGCTTTTATTTTCAGGCATACAGGGCATTTAGTAGCACTCATCTAAATGCTACTTTTTCACACATCAGTTTCAAAAATCTATCTTTTAAAGTGTTTCTCCCTTCACTCTAATATGTTAGCAGTGCTTCTCCAGCTTCCTTAGTCATTCTAACTTCACCTCTCTTCTTCAACCCAATTTCTCCAACTGTAGCACTTAGGGCTGGTCTGCTCTCCTGAAAGCACAAACACATCATGTATATGCTCATTGAATTTGGGTATTTTTATTTAAATTCCTCAGTTAGCTGCTGTACTTAAGCTCAGAAATGCTTTACAAGAATCCAGGAGAATGAGGGTAGCAGAGAAATCCTATTACACTGGCGATTCCTGGGTTTATTACTGTTACTCTGCTACAGGCATTGCAAGGCAAGCACAAAGGTAATGGCATGATGTGAGAATCATTTTCTTACTTGCTGCAAGCAGTACACTTCAGGCTGACCAAAAATTTCCTGGCATGCCTTTTGTGGGGGGGATTAATTTCAGCTGCTGCTGCTGCTGCTGCTGCTGCTGCGAGGCCGGAGGTGTCCGTGAAAGAAACAGCAGCCAAGGAGTTCCTGAGCAGCCTGAGACGCCAGCGGCGCCAGCTGTGGGACAGGAGCCAGCCCGACGTGCAGCAGTGGTACCAGCAGTTCCTGTACCTGGGCTTCGATGAGCAGGTCAGTGAAAGAAATGGAGAGGGGCTTTTAAAAAATGAGGGAGAATAGGCAGGCAAAGAACAAGGAGGATTGGGTTTAAATAAAAAAAAAAAAAGAGATTTAGATAAGATATTAGGAAGAAATTCTTTACTGAGGGTGGTGAGGCACTGGAACAAGTTGCTCAGAGAAGTGGTTGATGCCCTATTCCTCTAAGTGTTGAAGGCCAGGTTTGATGGGGTGTTGAGCAACCTGGTGTAGTAGAAGGTGTCCCTGCCTAGAATTCTTCTTTAGAGTGGCAAATGTCACACAGAAATATAACCTCTGTTACGTGTTAGAGATCCTTGCAGTATTTTATTAGTTGAAAAAAATTATATTAAGGTCTTGTATGGAGTTCCTGCCTGCTATCAAACTTAAGCTTAATAAATTGCAACTGGACATATGAACAAGGTTTGCTTTGCAGAAGAGGTGGCCAGACTCAAAGCAATCAATCCTATTTCAGGAAAGTAATTTCCTGTCAGCCTCAACCTGATCAGCTTTTAAACATGCTGAGAAATCCACACCAAGCTGGCTGTGACTGGCCCTTCCCAGTGAATGGCACTGACATTATGCACCCAATGCACACTAGTGCCTCCACAGTGTGGGCAGCTCCTGACCATCATGAACACTGGCAACTGTGCCTCCCCTCTACATGTGAAAGGAAAACCTTTGGATAATATTCAGTCAGCCTCCCTTCAAATGAGAAGGACACATTTTTAAAAAACGCTTTATTTATAAAAACACTGGAGTGGAATCAAACTCTGCACAAAGCTCTACTAAATAGATGCTGGAATAGGGCAAAAAAAAAGTGTGTTTGGTTGCAGTCCCACATGTAGAATAATTTCTGCTTTTAATAAGAGGTAAAAATAGTTATAGATGTTGAATTCTTGGCTTCTGTCAGCTGTATGAATATGTTTAATGAGATTGCATTGGCACAGGGAGGCTGGAGTACATTTTAAAGCTTCATGCTATGTGGATTGCTTGGAAGATGAATGCACTCATTTTCAAAGCTGCAACAATTAGAAAAATAATCCTTTGCTTGAGCTGAAATAATGAAGGGTACTTTTTTCTAAATTCTCCTGGATATTATGTGGACAAAAGTAATTTCTCAACAGCATGGCTACATCCCCCTTCACTAATAGAAATAGGAAAAATAGGAAAAGTGGTTTTATACACTGGAAGCTGAAGACTGGGGGAAAATACCAAAGGAGCAAGGACAAACCATGTAGATAAAGTGAATTCTCCTCTAAGTTCCTGTATGCATTTCAAAAACCAAAATGAGGCCTGTTGTGGGATACAATGAATCCACTTAGTAGGTTTTCTTGAGTATTAGGACACAGTCCTAACAATGAAATAACTGTTTGTTCCAGCAAAGGACTTGGTCCGTACTTATCCATTGTGTATTTGCAAAACCTTTTTTTTCCCCCAAATCTCAGCCAAAAATATTTCCAAAGAGTCATTCAGATGGAAAGGCTTTGACTTGGCAAGTATTTGATATCCTTGCACACTATTTTTCCTCTGCTGTTGTGAGCAGAACTGAAGTGCTTATTGCATTTCCATAGCTGGAAGGCTGCATTGTACCTCTGTTTTTACCTGTGCAAGGTGGGGGACAGAGATCAGACAGAAAGCAAAAGGCTGTTGCACCCCAGTCAGGGATATTGCAACTAAAGGTACATGGCAGGGGAGAACTAAACCTTTAGATTTTTAACTGTAAAATATTGACATAATTCTACAGTCCACCATTGACAAGGTAATTGAGATATTAAAGGTGCTTAGTGCACATTTCAGATGAAGGCAGTCTCAATTTAAGCACTCTGCAGTGGGCAGGAGGTGTGGGGCTGGGTCCAGGGCAGGACAACTCCTGCACACAGGATCCTGATAACCCCATAGCTACAAGTCACAAAACCCCTTAGATCTAAAGATTTCATTTATGACAAATGTGCAAAGGATCCGAATTTCTGGAAGAGGCTGTTGCACCACTTCAGTTTCATCTCATCACGGTAGTTTCAGGCTGGAAAGCAAATGCTTCTTTTTTTTTTCTGGCAGAAATTTGAAGATGACATCTCCTACTGGACCAACTTGGGGCGTGCTCGTAATGAGTACTACGGTGGGCACTACCAGCACCACTACGATGAAGATTCTCCCATTGGCCCACGGGACCCGCACGCCTTCAGGCACGGGGCAGGCGTCAACTACGACGATTACTAATGCCATTTACCCTAGGGCAGCTGGGCGAGGCTGAGCCCTCCCTCCGTCAGGATGACCTTGCTTTTTCTTCTGGTCATGCCAAACAGAAAGAGTAAAGGAACTGCCAGACTTTCATCAAAGCAGCATGATTTTTTTAAACTATTATTACTTAGTAGTACACTATATATAAAAAGTGTTATAGAAATAAAGCTTTTTTGATAATCATGTTGCCATTATTTAGTAGACTTTATAACAGCAATTTAATTCCAACTGTATTACTACAGATTCCTTTTAAAGGGCTTTTTCTCTTGCTGTCCTACAATCAATTGCAAAATTGCATTATATCATCTACTTTGGCATATAGAATACGTATTATTAGCCAGTACATTTAAGATGTGCCTTCCCATTCACACTTCTATTAACAAAAAAATCCAATTATTCTTGGGAGAAAGGAAAAAAAAAGTTTCCTGTCAATTAAAGTGCTGCTTTGTTTCCTCCTCTGCCGTTTCCATACCCACAGTGTGCAGCCCTCCAAGCCTGACATGGCACTTCTGCAGCTCCTGTTGGGTCAAGGACACAGATATTCACAAAAGCTAAATTCAATGCAGATGAGCTTGCCTACCTACAAAGCCTGTGAAAGGATTCTCCAGGGAACAGGCTCAAGGCAGGAACTTGACTTCAGCAGTAATTGCTGAGGCACAGAGCATCCAAACCTGAGCGGCCCCAGCCCCTCCCAGGCACGATAACCCAAAGGTTATCTTTGCTGAATACTCCCCTTTGTGTCCATTCCACTTAGTGTCAAGCTTTCAGCCTAGCTCAAAATAGGGAATAAAACAACAAAGTAAGCTATTTAAAATTAAGTTAGTGTCAGACAGCAACCAACACAATCCCCTGACATCATAATTTCCTATTGCAAAATTCCCTCTACCCCAATTCAGACAGAAACATGCACATTAAGCTGAGCATCAAAATATATCAGAGACCAGACATCTGTTAGTGAAACACAGTGGATTAAAGGGGGATTGTTGGTGGCATCATGTGTGTTAAGAATCCCAAAACACAAACAATTTCTGTATCACAGCAACATCAACCTGGGAGGGAGATTTCAGCTGTCAGGGGCTTCAGGAGGAGCTGAGCACAGGAAAGCACTGCTGGCACTTGACAAATGTAGAGGACTGGGAAGGGGCAGGTGAGGAAGGCTGGCTTCTCTGACTTCTGGAACTGAAGAATCAGGATAAAGAGAGATGAAATGTGTTCCACCAACTGTAGCAGTCAGAGAAGACAGCATGGATGACTTAGCTGTCTCTCATCTAAAGCTTACAAGAAATTTCCAAAGCATGGATGATGGCAACACCATTCTTTACACTTCACTACTTTCTTAAATCTGAGTGTATTTCCTAATCTTTTGCTTAAAGCCCTTGTTGTGTGATGGGCTGGTGTCTAGGAGATGCAGCCCAGCACTGCACAGCTCCCTGCAGGAACACTTCCCAGGAGACAGCTCTTTGCTGAGGGAGCCAAACTGAACATGTTGGTCACTTCTTTGCACACACAGATCCATGCTGGCCTAACATGCTCCAAACCCTCAGCCCTCCCTAGGCTTAATCTCAGCAGAATCCTTAAACCAGTTTAACTGATTTAAACTGGTGTGTTTCCAGAATCCTTGCCAGTATAACTGGTTTAAACTGGTGTGTTTCCTTGGTAGAAGAGCCTTTATTCCAAATAGGGAATAATCGCATTCTGAGTCAAGCACAGACTTTTTTGCACAGTTGGAAAACACCTATTCCTAAAAGAATAGTCTTATTTTGTATATTATCCAAAAAGTGCACTGAATTTGGCAACGTTTGAACCATGCTGGTAATTTCCATCATTTCCCAGAATTTACAATTGGGAATTCAGACCAGCTGAATAAGGAAGAATAAAAAAAGTGCTGTAAATAAAGACCATCCCTCCCTAGGCCTTTGTAAACTCTGTCCATTCCTGTAGGCTGACTCAGTCTAGCAGCTTTCTGTGCCTTGCAGGCTCACAACCAAATCAATGGTCTCTGTCTTCTGAATTTCCTAAGAGGAAAGAAAAATCTTATGCATTATATTGTGTTGCAGGGTTAAGGAGTGGGACAGAGTGAACTTCCTACATAACAACACATATGATAACAAGTTTTAGATTTGTGACTAAACCAGCGTAGGCAGAACACAAACGTTTTTGCTTTGGGTGAACAGTGCCTGTGAACAGGCTGTTTTCTACACTGTCCCCCAGCAGGCAGGCTAGGAGTGGGGGAGAGGCTGGGAGGTTACTTGGGTGAGAGCTGACCCAAACTGGACAATTCCAAATGATATAATGCTTGCTCAGCACTGAAAGCTGGGAAGAAGAAGAAGAAGAGGGTCAGGGCTTTGACTTCTACAGAAGCCATTTCTCAGAGACTGGGTGAGCACCAGGCTTGCTTGGGAGAGATGGTGAGTGGCCTTTGCATCACTTGGGATTTCTTCTTCTTTCCTTCACTCATTAAACTGCTGTTACCTCAGCCCTCCAGAGTACCCATCTGATTGTCTAATTCTGTCCCACTGGGGCAGGAGGAGGGAGTGGCTGTGAAGGCACTTTGCTGCTGGCTGGGGTCACTCACCACAAGGCAATAGCTCTGTGAGGTGAGGGCACCCTCCTTGCAGAGGGGTGCACCTGCCTTGCAGGGCAGCAGTTGCAATGGTAGATAGCAAGCAAGGATAAGCAATCAGGCTTGGGCAAAAGGAGGAAGATTACTGGGGAAAAAAAAATTTCATCAGACATGCATGGAGTGCTTCAAAGTTTAATTTCCTTTGACTATTTCTGTCCCAAAACATAGACAGAACTGTGCACCTCCTCTCAGCATTTCCATGCTGCTGTGCAGACAGCACAGAGCACTTTACATCAGCATCACCCTCAGCCATCCCAGCACTGACATTATGTAACCTCTCCAACAAGACAGAAGAGCAGCAAGGGTTCACTGTGGCTCTTTTCAGAGCAGAAACAGCTTGGCCATGCTCCAGTGCTTCATGTTTCAAAGCCCGATGCTGCAACATCCCCGAGTTTGTCCATGTCAGCCAGGCAGGTCCATCAGACTCACAGGGCAGTGCTGCCTCCTTTGCTGGTAACACCTGCCAGCAAACCATTCTGCCAAAGAATGGAAGTATTGTGGCTGTGTCCATTTTTTTTTTTTTTTAATGAGGAGGACAGGTCATCATTCCCTTTAAGTTCCTGCTTGTGACACTAACATATTGGGGATGGGGGATTGAGCACATCTATTCCAGGACTGTTTCCAGGTGGAAAACAGCCTTCCTTGCTTAGAACAGCTTTCTCTGCAGTGGGGTGGACAGAGCCCAGATTGCTGTGTGTGGCTTTGACAGCACTTTAGGCCACTGTTCCCTGTGACTTGGTGCTTTGGACCTTCCAGCTGTTTCAGCTATGGTGGGGACCAGAGTATTCAGAGGATCCTGCTCCTCGCTGAAGAGCATGCCAGCATCTAGGGAAAACACTGCAAGAATAAACAAACTGGTGCCTGTCCCAGGCTGTATATGGCAACAAACCAAGATGGATAAAGACTTGTCAGATCTGCTATTATGAAATAAGCAAGAGAAGGACTGAGACAAGCAACAGAAAGCCAAAATCTGGGGGTTTTTTTGCAAGAAATATGAATTGTTATTTTAGCAAAGCCTCCCTGTTGATACAGAATTGCATTCAGGAGCCTCCTGCCACATACAAAGGGCCCTGTTTTGCTTCAGAACTATTGCTGCTCTTCATTGTAGCTCTACAGAGTCAAGAGCTGCAAATAAGGTATTCCCTTCTGACACCTGAAATCCCCACACAGGGAAATGCTCACAACAGAGGAACTATGGATTTGTGGCAGCCACATTCCCAGCAACTTCAGGGAAGGGATGTAGGGTTGTTAGGGCTAGCAGTGTTGAGTGTACAGTTCCCTTGCTGTTAACAAAGCATCTTCTTTCTGTGGACCAGCCCCTGACAACCCTCAGAGACCTCCTGGCCTCAAGCAGCATTAAACTCAATACTAGCAAGGCTGGGGACTGGCTCAATCCATCAAACTAATCGAAGCCTTGTTTTGCCCTCTGTAGCCTGCTCTCCAAGGCAATTATGCCTCTTTCAACTCTGAAACTCAATTCAAACCCTGGCAAACAGTGAAGGATTTTTCCCAATACATTATGTTTCTAAAAATTTATTGAAAAAAGCAGATTAAGACATAAATACTGGGATGGTAGTGAACTCACTGGCTACTAAACCCACCAGTCTATATAGGTTAAGTGAAGCTGCAAACACCTTAGACACAGAAACTACCACATCATTATTTCCCCATATAGCAAAAAGTTAAGCATGAGGCTTCTCTAGATTACATATTCATGGAACTACTTAAAATAAATTAGGTCTGCAAGCCCCTCTGTAGCTTGTCTATAGACTAGCAATGTGGCTGACAATGCTCCTTAGCAGCCTACATAGAGAAATAAAGGAAAAGTACGTCATGCTTGAAATAAAGAATAAAATCCAACTGTGGATCTCATGCTGTTGTAACCTCCAGCAACAGGAGTGGTCCTGCTTCTGAGGATCAAAGGATGCACAGCAGCAGGTGCCTTGCATACCCTTCCTTCTGGAAAGCTGGTCCCATTCAGCAGCACCAAGCCAGCCAGTTCCCTCTGCTGCATTTTGTATTTCCTACTGAGAGTGAGGAACCCACCACCAGCTGAGCTCCCCATTGTAAATTGTGAGTAAATAGGCACCTCAAGTTTGGTCATGTTAGTTTTACCTTGTTTGCTTGACCAGATGGCAGCAGAAAATTCCAATTCTCAAATTTTCTAGAGAAAAAAAAATCCTGAGAGCATGTCTCTGCTTCATTTACTCCCAAATTCTGTATTTCCAAGCTTTCAGTGCTGTATTCTAGTACCCCCCATCAAAAGTGGCTCGTCTGGAGAGGCAGCAGCTCTTTCTTACCTGTGGTTCCCAACACACTTGATGCCTCTTTCTCCTGCTGGTATGTCTAACCCCAGATGGGAGCAGAGCACCAACATCCAAACCTCCATCTGCCTTTTTGAAGACTCAGTTCAGACCAGACAACTTCAAAGTATCCCAGACATTCAGTCTCAAGCATCAGCAGACTCTTAACATGATTCATGCCTTTTGAATCAGCCCCAAGTCACTGGTTTCAAAACCTAAGGGCAACAGCTACCTCAGCTCCTGCTGCTGGAAGACAC